ATTTCACTGATCAAGTTGGATATTCTTTTCTTATGCGTATAAGTATAAATCCACTCCTTTCTTTATAATGTGAAATAAAACGCACTAATTAATCTAGATATAAACTTCAGAAATCACTGTCCAGTCACAATACAAATATTACTGTAATTGCATGAAGCAAGAAACAATTGTATCGTATAAAAAATACAAGTCACTTTTTCATCATACCAATGACAATAGCAATAATCTACGTACACAGCCATGTTCAGGTCTTTTACAAGACATTTTGGATTTTGATGACTCTGAACAACACTGTCTCATTTCGAAATGTCAAGCAAATGGCTGCAAAACCTATGGAATTTTAATAACAGATGCTCTACTCACTAGCAATGTAACTAAAAAGTCTTAGTTTACCAGAATCTGAATTGTAAATCAACAAATGTTGTCTACGGATTAGAGTGTAACCTTTGTGGATTGGTATACGTCGGTGAAACGAAAGGAAGGCTTAACAAACGTATGTGCGGCCATATATCAGATATCAACAATAGTAGTGCAAGCGACATTCTTTACCAACATTTCAACCAGCCTAATCATTCAATCCATTCTATGCAAGTTCCAAAAAATATACCACAGGACTAACAATCCTCATCTTGCAACGCCTCTCCGTAAACAAAAAGATGACTACTGGATTCGACAATTGGGAACTGCGACACCATATGGTGGCAATGACAAAATTGATAGTATAGGTATTCTATCTAGTCCTTCCTGTAGCTCGGTGAATGTGATGAACATTTTCAACTCTACTCCTTGACGTGGGCGCAGACGCAGTCATGGTCATCGTCATTGTACATCACCTACTCTCCATGATGTCTCTATTAATGACCTGCTGCCATTTATACAAAAGCCGTTAGGCATTCATCACATTCGCACGACGCTTTAGTCATTACTCTTTTCAAAACTTTATTCTCTGTACAACTTATGTTTGGAAACCACTGTTACAAACCTTCATTCAACAAACTTACAGTTATCATTTCGGATATTGCAAGTCACAGACTTTTTAAACCCATTTGCATTGGAAAAGATGAAAAAGAGGAAAGATCCTTTTTGAATTTTCCTTTGCCAACAAAGGTCTCAATGCCGTCAACTTGGGCAATACCCTTCATCATAAATCAGTTCAATCGAAAATGCTTCCTTTTTTAAAGATCAGTCTGTACCTATCATTTCTTATACCTTCACCAAACCAATTGCAACTAAAATTTTCAATTATAAACAGTGTTGCAGGATCTCAATATTGACGACTTCAAGTCGAAATCTCCTGTTTGCACCTGTGCTAGATCCCCATTCATATATATTCCGGCTGGCCACGTTATTATCGGTGACCTCATCATTGTCAATAACACTTCCCTGCGAAATGTGTTATCCAAAGGTCCGAAATATCGTGAGCCTAAATCAATCAATTGGAAACACAAATCAAAATACTGATGAATTCAGTCGAGGATTATGCCAGGCAATAGGTTAAACGCGATAAAGAAGACGCAGGTACTCTTTTTGAATGGATTAAGGCTGTAAGGTCATTGATACAAATCAGAATTAAAAAACTGAATGTGTATATCAATACCCATGCTACATCAATCTTTAAAGACCCAAATGTTGCAAAATACCTATCTTACCTCCATGACAAATATAGTATTATCCCCGCAGATACAGTCCCAAACAACATCGTTTTTGTATGTAAATCACATTACATAAACTGCCTGATAAATGAATTAGATATTGACAATTCACTTGGAAACTCAACATATATACCCCAACGACACTTCCGAAAAGGAAATCCTGGATAAACATAGGTCTGTTCTATGTTCCTTTGGAATTTCAACTAAAGATGAAGAACTGGATCTTCCATCACTGTATTGGATAACTACATAAGTGTCCTTACAAACAACGGTATATTGCTGGGTCTCCCAAGTGCTCAACGAAACCTCTTTATAAATTATTAACATCAATTTTATCAGCAATATTTTAGAGAACATACAATCTAACACTCTTTAATCTATCTAGCAACAGTATTAAAACATTTTACCTTTCTACACTTTACATAAGTTGCCCCATCCGAAACTAAAAGACACATTGAAAGAGTTGGTATTGCTTTGTTGTATCTTGTCGTAGGAAGGGATAACTCCTACTTTGTAAAAATCACTCTGATTCAAAAAAAAAAATTCTCTGAAACTGACATTATCTATATGCTTGATTTCTTGATTGACAACATATTTGTTACGTTTGGAGGACGTATTTTTCAACAAATAGTCGGCATTCCCATGGGAACCAACTGTGCCCTCTTCCTGACGACTTTTTCCTTTATTCTTATGAGTCTGCCTTCATACAGGAACTTCTTGGGAAGAAAAAAAAAGAAGTTAGCAATATCTTTTAACTTTACTTTCCGCTATATAGATGATGTTCTTTCATTAAATAATTCAAAATTTGGTGACTATTGAACGCATCTATCCCGTCGAACTTGAGATATAGAATAAAACAGATACAGTTAATTCTGCCTCATATCTTGACTTACATCTCGAAACTGACAATGAGGGTCGGTTGAAAACAAAACTTTACGACAAAAGAGATGATTTCAGTTTCCCAATCGTGAACTTTTCATTTCTATGTAGCAACATCTCAGCGCCTGCATACGAAGTATATATCTCCCAATTGATACGATATTCCCGGGCCTGTATTTCCTATCATGATTTTATTGATAAAGGGTTGATGCTCACAAGGAAGCTATTAAACCAAAAGTTCCAAATGGTAAAGTTGAAATCGTCCCTTCGTAAATTTTACGGACGTCATCAGGAGTTGGTTGACCGTTATGGAATATCCGTCGTAGATTATAGCGGATATGTTCATAATGTCGTTACTACAATCCCGTCCCTTATTCACGAATGTGACCTACCGAATTAGACTTATTACCGGGTTTGTACTAACATGAGCAACACGACGGGTGCCACATGTGGAGCAGAATCTGTTTACCCTTCCGGATCACCTGAGATCACCCCCAGGTTTTGGTGGGTTTCGTGTTGCTTAGTCTTTAGTTTTCTATGCTGTGTGTTGTTTACTATTGTTTGTCTTTTTGTCTTTTTCTTTCTTAGTCATGGCGTTGTCAATTTATTTTCGACTTATGAGTTTGGATGTCCCTTTGGTATCTTTTGCCTCTTTTTTAATTAATTCATAATACGCTATTTTTTTTCTTCTCTTCATTCATGCCAATCTTACCGCGGAAAAGCAGATTATTTTTTCAACAATTTTTAAGGAACTATGTTTGGGATAACATATTATAACCCCACTCCCCTACCAACAAGTACATGACTGTTTTCCTATTGAAAATAAGAATATTTGGAAGTTTGATGAGTAAAAGGAGAACTGACAGGAATGTAACACGAAAAAACGGACATCAATCGGTGATAGTACGATTCCAATACAATTATAATAAAAAAACTTGAATACTTTTGTTTTTTAAAAATCCTACTTAGTCAACAATGTGATAAATCTTCAAAAGTGTTATGAAAAGAGTTGTATTATTAAAATATCTCTCATAATGTCCCTTTATTGTAACAAACAATTTACAAACTTCGCATTATTTGTTTTGAAAGTTAAAATGTGCCTTAACGACTTTTTCGGGTATTTCAGTCCAAAAACTTCAGTATTTCGGTAGAAAAAGATTGTTCTGCCTACATCTTATAAAAGAGGAAAAAGTAAAAAATAAAACCCCAATAAGCAACAACACAGGATAACTATCAAATGAATTTAATGATTTAGTTAACTCTAGTTTGCATTTTAATCAGGGAAGGAATATAATCAGCTTACACACGTAAAATTTTTTCCCGGAAACCCATTTCATTTGAACTTGGTATCGTTCAGTTTGTTACTTCAAAAGAAAGACGTATCGTTCTGGAAGCAAATAACTCAATATATGCAAATAAAAGAGAATCGAAAAATACCAAAGGGACATTCAAACTCATAAGTCAATGAATAACTGTCAATACTATGGCAATAATCGAAAAACGACGAAAGACAGACGAATAACGTTTATTCTATATTAATTACTAAATCTCAAAAATGATAGTTTACACAGTTAGTATTTTTTAAAGTCCAAATATGATCAATATACTTAAGAATTGAATGCTTCTTTTTGTAAATTTATTGGGGTGTAAAAGTGTTGACCGAAGTACATTTTGTATGAAGCGCGGACACGTTTCATTCTAAAAATGTGCGCACAGTCAACGCTTTTACAATCCTATATTATTATTAAAAGAAGCATTCAATACTTATAATTACATTGTTTGCTAGGATCATGAAAACACGATTTCTATCAAGTTTTTCTGTTATTTACCTGCGCACTGTATTGTGGAAGACCGTGTCATCATGAATATTACATTTCATTTTGAAATGAAGATTAATTTCAGAATGACGCGAGATTGATGTTAGCCAATCAAAATAACGTATTATAATGAAACATACATATAATGAAGTTATTAATGGATATTCAACTCGTAAAATTATAGCTCAGAACAATATTAAACACTTGAATAGAAAGTTTTCGAATTCTGGTTATTGATAATCTTGAAACTTTTAATATAATGTAAACAAGACAGTCTTCAAGACGGAAAATTAAATAACTATTAACATTGGTCTTCGTAAAACTTTGTTAACAAGATTTGGTCAAAAGAGACAAATCTATATGGTTTTTGAAATGAAAGCAGAAAAACGGTGGATCATGCCAAATTAATTAATCCGTACCAATCAAATAATCGATAAAACATTTAATGTAAATCCTTCTATCCGCTAAAACGCGGGGCTGAACACGGGTAACCAAATGGAAAAACAATGAAATCGATTGAATGATTTACGTTCTTTGTACGGTGTTCTTCGAACCGTTTTGTTATTTATGACACTTGTCAATTGTATATTGTTCCTCATCGTAACTTATATATCCGTGTCCAACAAATAAATTGATATGCGATCTATTTTTTATACATTTCTTTTTGCATTTAAATATGCATGATATGCGTATATATGTGAAAACTAAGTATTTTCGTTAAAAAAAACAAAATTAAAAAAAATGTTTACACAGGACACCTTATCTACTGTGTTTATAGAAATTGCTCAGATTTAAATATGTGTTTATCTATATTTATTGTCAAACGTATGTAGATAAAATTAATCATTTGATGAAAGGACACCTGTTCAAAACACCGTAAGTATCATATATCTTTCATTACATTGTAGAAGGAAGAATAATAACTCGGATATTATTTCAATAATATAATGACTCTGTTATAGAAAGGAATATGACTTTTGTTTTTTGTTCGTTCCGTTTGTTGATATAGTCGAGCGTTTGATTTTGCCAAGTTTTATGGACTTCCCAAATTTAATAATTTATCTTGGAGTTCGATATTTTCATTAATAGTTTTATCATTTTTCCCTAGTTATCGCGAAACTAACAGTTTTACTAATCATACATTTTACTAAATTCCGTGATTGAATGAGACCAGCGGACACACAAAATACATATAGAAGTCAGTGTTTGATATTTAATTAAAACCAAAGAAATATGGTACGATTAACAAGGCGACAGCTGTCAACAACGGAAAGGGTTTTTCCGTTGAGTCCTCAAAATTTACAATACCTATACCATGCAGTCAGCTTTAGAATAAAATATTACTCTTATTCACTTTAACAAGCCTGGGATAACAAAACACGATAGAATGCAGAAGCCTGATTTTATGTACTTGAATAAAAGAAAAAATTATATAAGACAATGAGCAAAAGACAACACTCACCAAAAACAAAAGGAAAGTAGTGTAATTAACCACAGGTCAAAATGCGACAAAATGAAAGCAGATGGTACAATAAAAAAAGGGGACAGAATTTTTACTACAACTAGAACAAAACATCTGTAGTTATCTGAAATTCAAATACAGGTGAACAAAAAATTCTGTTTGTTTTTATTTTTCGTAATGATTAGGTTTAAACTGAACCTGACTATAATTTCGAGATGTAAGTCAAGTTCTTGTACAAAGTTTTTGTCAAAGCAACAAACGAAAAATTCGGTTAGAGAGTAGCACAGTACATATTCACAGGAATGCCAATTATCTGTAAAAAAAACCCACGTCATTCACCCATAACAACTGTTGTCAATAATAAAAATTAAACATCTGGAATATACAACTCTTCTAAGCTTCGAAACACTGCACAAAGATACTGAACAAAAATGTTGACAAAAATTGAATTTTAAAAATACATTGATATTTAAACTAATGTTGATCTGTGTTATTACAGAAGCAGTAAGATAAGTTTGCAGTAACTTTCTTTGCAATCTACTAGGACCGATCATTCATCAAATCCGATTGATATATTACAGTTTACGGACAATAGGACGTACTATGCCTTCAAATTATATATTAATCGTTACAATATTTTCTTTTTTCTCACTTCCTGTTAGGCGTTTTATTAACACATAAATATGTACGAGAGTGACAACTTTGGATATTCCATAACGGATTTCATAGAAAAATACCAAATGCGACTTCCTATGATGGCAGTGGTAATCCAAGGTTTCTTTGGAAGAACTAAAAATGATACTGTCAGCACCGGTCAGGTAATATAACTGTCAGCGCCAGTCAGGTAATATAACTGTCAGCACCGATCAAGTAATATAACTGTCAGTACTGGTCAGGTAACATAACACTGTCAGCACCGGTTAGGTTATATAACATTGTCAGCATCGATCAGGTAATATAACACTTTTAGCACCGGTCAGATAATATTACACTGTCAGCACCGGTCAGGTTATATAACATTGTCAGCACCGGTCAGGTAATATAACATTGTCAGCACTTGTTAGGTAATATAATACTGTTAGTACCGGTCAGGTACTATAACACTCAGTACCGGTCAGGTAATATAACTCCTTCAGTACCGGTCAGGTAATATAACACTGTCAGTACCGGTCAGGTAATATAACTGTCAGTACCGGTCAGGTAATATAACTGTCAGCACCAGTCAGGTAATATAACTGTCAGCACCGGTCAGGTAATATAACTTTATGCTTTCAAACGCTTAGCTGGACTGACAAAAATAGATGCAGGTAAAACTTTAAAATCAATGATAGATTTGTGATAGGGAGTTTGAGGTAGCACAATACAAAAGCAACAAAATTTTTTCAAAATTTGATTTTCAGCTGTTTAATATTTCAAAACCACAGAAGAAAAATTCATTTACATATCTTGAACTGTTAATGAGTTTTGATGATAATTAGTTTTATTTACAAATGCACGTGTCTGACTGATACAAGATAAGAACATGTGGGCAGTACTTTGTGGTTTATTAATAGAATCATTTGATAGCTTTATGACCACTGACCAGCAACACAAATAACAGTTACGAAAAAGAGGTGGATTAGGGATTAATGGAAAAATGAAGATAATGATTTCCAAAAAAAAATACACTTCATTAATGGAGCTGCCAGGAGAAAAAAAAACAAAGTAACAATTTGGAGATATAGAGGGAATCAAAACATAAATGTACAGAAATTAAACAAATGTAATTGTATAACAACTAATGTACTGGAATTTCTTGGGGGAGAATGTTTAAATGTGAATTCTTTTTAAAAGGAAATACAAATTAAATATTTCATTTTCAAACTGCAAAATTGAACAAAATCTACTTTGTGTAAAACACCATATTGTCCTTGTATACAATTACAATTCTAAAAATCCCCCATAAGGATCCCCTAAACTGACCAACTGATCATTTTGTGAACACATGCATAACTTACTTTTTGTAACAATCAGAAAACAAAAAATATATTATATTATGTACTGAATGAATAAAATCCATATTTAAAAAGTAAATGCAATGTGGAATTAAACTTCTGAGATCATTAGTAGTAAAGGTTTATCATGGTGGGCGGAGTTTTGACCATATCAGTAGCAACTGACTAACAACAAGGTCAATAATGATATTACATCTCCCGCCAGATCTGGTTTTTGATGCATATGGTGTGCATTTTCTCTGTATATTTAGAATTGCTGAAATTGAATGCTTTCTTACTGGTCAAAACCTAACTGATTTATGATTGAAGGCCAATCCTGAAGTATCCACATGGAACATGTGTGAATTATAATGAAGTTAAAGGGGTACAAGTAGGAAAATCCTTATTTATTCAATTGTGACACATTCATTTTTGTCATGAAAATGTAGTTTTAAATGAATTTAGCTCCTAGATGGGTGCCCCTATATGTCTGATTTTCACTCATGTTGTTCCTTGACCAGTTATCTTCAAAAGGGTGTCTCAGATTTCCAAAAACACCAATAGAACAAATTTTATACCCAATTAAATTTAGTGATCTCTTATGAATTTAGGTTGCAAACTTCATTGAAGTTTTATGATAGAATGAAATACAATAGGAAAAATCTGAGACACCCTTTTGGAGATCAAACTGTGTTATACAAGAATACAAGAATCTATAAAATATTTTGGGATGCAATGAATAACAAAGAAGCTATTTTCATTCAAGTGTGGACATCTCAATATAGCAACTAATTACATAATAATTATTATGACGTTTTCACCATTTGAAAGATTAATCTTTCTTTTTCTTTTGGTACCTCATTTATAAAATCTAAAGCTGGATGAAAGAAATGACATCAGTTTGAAGTTGTCTGATTGGAGGTGAAAAAATCTTTGTATTGTGCTACCTTAAGCCTAACTGTGTGAAACAGAAGATCATCAAATCGGGTTTTTTAGAGTATACATTCAACAGGTATTTTCTTTATCCTTTGTGACTGAGGCTGGTATGTTTTGATATACTAATTTTATTATACGGCCAAAGGCCTTGCAAAGTGCTGTTATATCTGTCATTGATTTTCACCAGTTATCAAAGATACTTTCTTATAGACTTAGATCCTCGAGATACTTCTCTGTATGATTCTAGTTACTAATGACTTTTGAACTCCAAATACTTTTCAATTAACTTACGGTAACACATTATGATGATTGACTCTGTTACACGATATTATATGGTATACGGGTTTCAGAGAGGATATGGGCATATATTTCCTGTCAGTGTTTTATATTTCCTGAGGTCATGTTCCTAGTGAAGTCCGAATAACAGTTAAATTATATGTGAGTGTCCTGATTTCAACATTGATAACCTTTCTGATTTTCATTTTTGTTTACGGGATATATGGGCCCTCATATATCCTGTTAACAACAAGACTACAGCCTTTAACATTGCCATAAAAGTGCGAGGTTTGGCCAGCCACAAAACCAGGTTCAACCCACCATTTTTTCTTAAAATGTCCTGTACCAAGTCAGGAAAATGGCCATTGTTATATTATAGTTCGTTGCTGTGTGTGTTGCATTTTAGTGTTGCGTTTCTGTTGTGTCGTTGTTCTCCTCTTATATTTGATGTGTTTCCCTCAGTTTTAGTTTGTAACCCGGATTTATTTTTTTCTCAATCGATTTATAAATTTCGAATAGCGGTATACTACTGTTGCCTTTATTTGACCTGGGACAGGCATATAAAGCATGCAAAGTACGTAAATATGTTTGTAAACGCATGTACTACACTCTCCCCTTTGACTGTACCGGGAATTTAATAAAAAACATAAAACAAATAATAAAATCGGTTGAAAAAGTTTTCGTTTAAACGGATGTTAGTGCAAATCCGGTGATGTCTAATTCGGCAAGTCAATTTCGGTGAAAAGGGGACGGGATTGTAGATATTTTTCAACTTGATGCGGTATTTGACCTTAGAATGTTTGCCTGTTCAGATGATATTATTTTGTTTGCTCTGAAGACACGTACTATTGTCATCCAAACTTTAATTCTGAAGCTTACCTGATGAAGATTATTCCAAATACGTGTGTTTTGTTCACATAATTATGTTTCATATGTCTTTAAAAGAGAGGCGAAGGATATCAAAGGGACATTCAAACTTTTAAGTCGAAAATAAAACTGACAACGCCATGGCTAGAAAAGGAAAAGACAAACAGACAAACAACAGTACACAAAACACACAATACAACATAGAAAACCAAAGACTGAGCAACACGAACCCACCAAAATCTAGGGGTGATCTCAGGTGCTCTGGAAGGGTTAGCAGATCCTTCTCCACATGTGGCACCCGTCGTTTTGCTCATGCAAGTACAAACCCGGTGTTCTCTCATTCGGCAGATCACATTCGGGGAAAAGGAGATGGGATTTTAGATATTTTCAAATCAAATCGGTATTTGACCTTAAAATGTTTGCCTGTTCAGATGCTGTTATTTTTTTTTTAAACACGTACCATTGTCATCCAAACTTTAATTCTAAATCTCACTCTAAGGGAACTTACCTAATAAAGATTATTACAAAAACGCTTGTTTTTTCAAATAATTATGTAGCATATGTCTTTAAAACATGTACCGAAGAATTTTTTTCCTTTTGCTTTCTAGGGATATTTGTAATCCATCTTCTTGAAAATATATTTACAGTTACTACGAATCCACTGTGTACAAACGATCCCAAGAGTCAAAGCTAAAATAGTTGATGACCAGGAAGGACGTTTCCAAAATATAAAAACTATAAGTTTACCTATGAGTTCGAAACAACCAATTTATGTGCGAACAAAAAAAGGTTTGTCACGATACTGATAAAAAATATAAAAACACCAATAAGATCAAGACCAAGTTACTACGAATCCACTGTGTACAAACGATCCCAAGAGTCAAAGCTAAAATAGTTGATGACCAGGAAGGACGTTTCCAAAATATAAAAACTATAAGTTTACCTGTGAGTTCGAAACAACCAATTTATGTGCAAACAAAAAAAGGTTTGTTACGATACTGATACAAAATATAAAAACACCAATAAGATCAAGACCAGGATTTTACTTACATGAGCAACACGACGGGTGCCACATGTGGAGCAGTATATGCTTACCCTTCCAGAGCACATGACATCACAAGATAATTTTGGTGTAGTTCGTGTTGCTCAGTCTTTAGTTTTGTATGTTGAGTTTTGTATACTGTTTGTCTTTTGGTCGTTGTTCATTTTTTGCCATGGCATTGTCAGTTTGTTTTCGTCTTATGAATTTGAAAAAAACACTTTACTATCGTTCGCCTTTCTTTTCTAAAGTCTTTTACTTTGTAAAACGTCACCAGTGTCTGAGCAGAAAGTTGATGAGCCAGGGGTATGTCAAAGAACGTCTCGTCCTTTTTCTAAGAAAGTTCATCGGAAGGTACCAAGACCTTGTTGATAAGTATTCCGTATCAACTTCACAAATAATACATGATGGTCTTGAAGTATAGATTCTGCATACTGACGTTGTTTATCATCTTAACAACGTGTAATATTGTTCTTTCATTTGTCTGTGTTCTATTATTAATATTACTTTTACTGTTTGGTTTGTTTTCTGTGATATCCATTTGACGTGGCTAGGTACTTATACATCCCGTCAATGTGTTTGTATTATCTTTCATTTTTGCTGGTGTGTTTTGTATATGCGACTTTTTGTGTTTCTGTGGTTCTTATAACGTGACTCTGTACTTTAAAAGATCCCGGCATTATGTTATTGTTCTATTATATGTCATTATGTTATTGTTCTATTATATGTCATTATGTTATTGTTCTATTATAAATTTGAAAATACTTTGAACGACAAACGACAAATTTATTTTACTCGCGTATTGGTATTAACCACATGTGGATTCTTAAAAATTCTAAAGTACTTCTAGACAATTTTAAATCTCGGTCTATTTCTGAAATTAATTCTAACATAACTTTTGATTTTTTAACCCTGTATACCAACATTCCCCATGTGAAATTATAAAATTGTTTTGAATAAACATTGAATGACAAACTTTTTTCTTATGTGACGTTTACATTTTCTGACGTCAGACAAGCAAGCAATGAATGTGGTTTTTAATTTGATAGATGCTTTTGTGCTTTTTTGTAAATAATTGTTTGTTTTGATATTGTAACACAGTGATGACTGCTGTACCCATATTTTGACTATTTTATTTATAATGTCTGTTTTGTTCACGCATCGTTGTAAATATAACGGAATTTGATAAGACTGTCGTACAAGTGAGAGGTTTAGCGCTATAAAACCAGGTTCAATCCACCATTTTCTACATTTGAAAATGCCTGTACCAAGTCAGGAATATGACAGTTGTTGTCCATTCGTTTGATGTGTTTTGTCATTTGATTTTGCCATGTGATTAGGGACTTTCCGATTGAATTTACCTCGGAGTTCAGTATTTTTGTGATTTTACTTTTTTCCAGTGAACAATAAACTGATGAAATTGACGGCCATTTAAATAAATTTGCTGTTGTAGCATTTTTGGTGAAAAAGTACTGCTTACAAGGAAGCTATTGCACCAAGAGTAATGAGTTGTAAAGATGAAGTAATATTTATGGATTGTTATTGAGGCGACTTTATTGAACCGTTATGGAAGAGCTGTGAAACAGATGACTACTGATGAACGTCATATGTTATTACCACAATCCCGCTTTGGTTTCTTTAATTGTGACTTTACCAAATGTAGCTTGTTATATTGAATAAGTAACGCGACATTTGAGACTAGGAGCGCTTCATTTACAGGAACACCTGTGTTCACCGAAGTGTTTAAAGGGTTGGTATTGCTCAATATTTAATTTTCTGTGTAATATTTTATTAATTTTGTTTGTCTTTTTGTTGTCCTCTTTTGACATGGGGTTTTATTGGACCAAAGATTTTCGATTGACCCCTTTGTAACTCTATCATTTCGTTTATGTTTGATTGTGTATTTGTGCGTTTTCCTCGGTTTGGTTTCGTTGTTCATACGTCAGGAATCCTAAAAAGGAATAATTGTAAAAGAAATTAAGTAGGAAAAACATTATAAGCACATGTACTTTTCACTAATGAGTGCACGTGCTTTACGGGACGATGTTAAGACAATGCATAGAAAAACAAACGGAAAGCTTAATATAAATCTTAGTTACATGTTTGTAGCATAGAAAAGTAATTATAGGAAATGAACGCTTCATTTTATAATTTTATAGAGTTGTAAAATCGTACATTTTTAGAATGAAGCGCTTCCACGTGCTTCGGTCAACGTTTTTACACCAAAAACAACTATGAAAAGAAGCATTTAGCTCCTAAATATTTGTTTGTTAGTCGAAGTGCTTATTTTTAGCTTTAGTGTTGTCGGTTTTTATTGGATTTATGATTTTCAATTATTCCATTATTATCTTCTGTATCTCTATTGAGTAGATATGAGACATTTGAGTATAAATATCTATATTTTTGCGATTTTAGGTAAAACCAAATCCCTGATAGAGATCAGTAAGAAAGGGGAATTCCCTTGCAAGATTACATTAACAGACACATATTATCTCAATCAACGTGATAATACCTCTTTGCGCATAGATCCCTCTGTATCGCTGGTGTTAGAAGGACAGGCCGACTTACGATACCTCCTGGGCAATCCGGTTACCGGAGGTGAGTCTTACAACAACTATGACTGCTGTTTGCCAAAAATTGGAGAAAAAAACCATCTCTAAATCTTTTTTGTGTGGTCTTTGTAGATACTAAGTTTTTTTCTTTTTTTCTTGTTTATATATTGATCATTACGTGTACACTTTTTGACGATTATTGTAAATTCTGAGAAATGTATGGCTAAGTTATCTTTTTGATGTTCCGTAGTGGTTAAATACATGTATATATTTGCGCGTTTCTTATGGCAGCAGATCTAGAAAAACAACTAATAAGACCCGTCTTATTTGCATTTAATTGATGAATTCAGCCACAATTTTCTAAATATACTGCCGAAATTTACCCACAGAGAATAACTTTAAATAAATCAAATATAAACGGTAATAACTGTCCTTTCCTAGATTTCGATATTTCAGTTATACACGGAAAACTCTACACTTACATTTACGAAAAAAGGAACGAGTTTTTGTTACCTATTGTTAATTTTCTTTTTTTGAACGGGGATGTTCCTTTGGCACCATCTTACGGTGTTTATATATCACAACTCGTTCGCTATGCCTGTGTCTGTTGTGACGTTTTCGATTTCAGAAAACGTTATCTACGTATTACTGATAAATTATTAAGTCAGGGATTTCGTTACCACAGAATACTTAAAACCTTTACTAAATTCTTCCATAATACAAAAAATTGATTTGAGAGTTTGGTTGTACCTGTAGAAAACTTATTTCAAACTGGATAGCACATCCTAATATTTACGGAGATTTTCGATTCTTTATTTAAATAAACTTATTCTAAAAGGTTACTAATTCAACACTGTAATTAATTTGTACATTGTTTTATTGGTATAAAAATTAATTTTGATATCAGTAAATTAAAATCTAACTAAATAGTATTCATGGTATTGTTATATACATATGCACATCCAAGGCTTTATAATTTGTCAATACCTGTATCTTGGCATTGCACAAAATCATTCTTTTTCGTTATAAAAATAAGTAGATGTGGTATGATTGCCAATGAGCCAACTATCCACCAAAGTTCAAATGAAGTGCAATGTAAGCATTGATAGGCAACCGTACGGCCTTCAACAATGAGAAAAACCCATACCGAGTAGTCGGCTATAAAAGGCCTAGACATGAAAAATATGAAACAATTCAATTGAGAAAACTAACGGCCTAATTTAAAACAAAACAATTTACGAAAAACAAATACGACAGACATGAACCAACGACAACCACTGAACTACAGGCTATTGACTTGGGACAGGCACATAAAAAATGTGGCGGGGTTAAACATGTTTGTAAGCGCTCAACCCTCCCCAACCTGCAACAGTGGTGTAATAGTACAACATAAGAACAAACTATAAACATCAGTTGTAAAAAGCTTAACTCACCAGATGGATACAAATAGAAATACATCTAACAAAAACACATAATGGACGTGGACGGGTACTTCTACATCCCCACAACAAAAAGATACTTAGTACAGATCTGAGAGTACTCGCAGTTACTGACAGCTAGTTCAACGCAAATAACAACTAATAAAAAAAAATCATGTATCTAAGACTAAAATATACATCAGTACACATCCAACATCCAATGGATTTAGTGTAAAGACGTCATTAACAGTCAGAGAAAAACATGACCTTGTTCGATGCCAAACTATAGGTATCGACAGATTGTAGTACCGTGAAAGTAAATATGTGTAAATATTTATTATGGTTTTAATTTACTGATAATGACGTCTTTTCACTAAATCCATTGCATATTGGATGTGTACAGATTGATATTTTAGTCCTAGATGAATGATTTTTTTATTAGTTTTTATTGGCTTTGAACTAGCTGTCAGTGAAAAGTAAAATAACAAAAATACTGAACTCCAACGGAAATTTAAAACGGAAAGTGCTTTATAAAATGGCAAAATCAAAAGCTCAAATACATCTAACGAATGGAAAACAACTGTCGTATTCCTGACTTGGTACAGGCATTTCCTTATGTAGATTAAATGGTGGATTAAACCTGGTTTTATAGCTAGCTAAATCTCTCACTTGTATGATATTCGCATAGAATTCCATTATATTGACAACAATATGTGAGCAAAACAAACAGACATGATAGGTAAAAACTTCAACAATTGGAGTACAGCAGTCAACATTGTAATATAACTGCGAGTACGCTCAGATCTGTACTTAGTTTATTTTTTGTTATGGGGATGTATAAGTACCCTGCCACGTCCGGCCTGCGTTTTTGTTAGATGTATTTCTGATTTGTATCTAAATGATGAGCTAAGACCTTTTCAACTGATTTTTATAGTTTGTTCTTATGTCATGTACGTATGTACTGTTACACCACTTTCTCAGGTTAGTGGAGGGTTGTTGCCTTCAAACTAGTTTAACCCGCCACATCCTGTATGTGCCTGTCCCAAGTAAGGAGCCTGTAATTCAGTGGCTTTCGAGTGTTGCTTTATATCATATTTGTTTTTTGTTCATTATTTGGTACATAGATCAGGCCGTTAGTCTTCTCGTTTGAATTGTTTTACATTTGTCGGGGCCTTTTATAGCTGACTATGAGGTATGGTTTTTTCGTTCATTGTTGAAGACCGTACGGTGACCTATAGTTGTAACTGGTCTCTGATGGAGTGTTGTCATACCCCAACTTCTTATTTACATAATTGTTACATTCATTTTGTCACTTTTATGATTTTATTGTATTTTTCCTATTTTTATTATTATCTTTTTATCTAACTAATATTTGGAACTAAATATCACATGCAAATACTGTATTGTCTTCTTGAATTGCAATAATATTTATTTCAATTGCAAAACTATTATGCAATGAAATGTTTTCACATTTTTTAGTGGAATTACTAAATTATCCTGTTATATTGCCGGAGTACATTCGAGAGTTGGAATTAGCAGCGGTAATTGGAATCAAAGGATTTGATTACAAACAATGGCAACAGCTCCAAACATATATGTCCGATGTTGTTAAAAGATATGTTAGGTTTGAACAGGAAACTTTTCTCGGAGGTATATAATTAAAAATACTCTTATTTCATTGAATACTTTTAAACTTGCAAAATATGCACCAAGACTAGTTTTTCATTAATCTGGGCTCGAAAATTATTTTTTCGAAACATTTTGTCAATTTACATTGAATAGTCTCGAAAATGTGTCCGTTAATCCATAAATAAAGTATGGATGAGATTTATCAAAAGGTAACAACATATTATATGGCCTTCTCGTTTGTGTAATTTATTTTTTTGTCATATTGAATATTCTGTTTTTGATGGGTTTTTTTTATTAATTATTACTTTTTAGTTTGCGTAATATTTTTAGGTTCTTCGATGTATTTACATTCAAAAGATATTGCCCGACAAGTCATGTGTTGTAAAGTGAAAATCTAAATTTACCTAGAATTTTGGATTTTTCAGGTCTGATAGCCCTGTCCGAGTTAGACACCTCTACATATACTAACCATACAAATGAATATTTACAATGCATACCGTCAGAATATGACAAACGGCAAGGATCGTCTCTGAGTTCTTATATTCCCTTAAAACAACACGCAACAAGTGAAAATGTGTATGATGTGATACCAGATAACAGACATGCTGACTTATCTACACTATCCAGGGAGTGGAAACAAAGACTTAATATTACAGTTAAAAATGAACCAGTTCAAATTCAATATACTGGGCATCAAGCAATAGCAGCATCTATGCCCAACGAGTCTGTTTTAAACCAGAAGGCTCCAAAAGTTTCTTCGCGACAAGTTGTAGCCCAAAACATAGCACCACCGTTACCAAGACGGGACAAACAAATTTCTAATCCAGGTATTTTCTTCAATTTCATAATGATTACGGGATATTACAATTTAAAAGTACTTTTGTGATCAGATTATCTCTTCTAAGGTTGATATATATCCACATACTCACAAACACTAAATATATACAACTTAAATTTTATGATTAATTTTCTTCACATCTATCCGTTCAAAAACCCAGCTTTGTATTTCAAGAATAAGCTCCATCGGTTTTCCATTTAAATCGCCAATTAATAAGCAAATGTGTACTTACTGACGACATTCAAGAACTATGAAGAGCAAGAGAAGTAAAATGAGATACCAACCCAATGTTAAAATATTCAAAGACATCAATAGGTCTCTAAATTCTGTAACAAAATACAAAACAAAAAAAGTTGTGAATAGTTTTAAAAGATATTATCAAATATTTGTAATCAACATGAAAGATATAAAAGAGAGGTCAAAGATACCAAAGGAACATTAAAACTCATAAGTCGAAAATAGACTGACAAAGCTATAGCAAAAAATAACGAAATAGACTATATGAAAAAACAATAGTTCACAAAACACAACGAAGAAAACTAAAGACTGAGTAACAACGAGCCCCACCAAAAAGCGGGGGAAAAGGGGGAGGGGGAGGGTATCAGGTGCAACGGGAGGGTAAGGAGATCTTGTTCCACATATTGCACCCTTCGTGTTGCTCATGTAAGTAATATAAGTCTAATTGTACAGCTAACATTCGGAGAAAAGAGGACGGGATTGTGGTAACGACAATTGGAACATTTCCGTCGGCATCTAAAATATACATCACATTCACCGGTTTATACTGAATTACTTGACGACAACCAGAGCCTTTAAATATTTACAAGTCATAATATACAAACCAGATTTAATAAATATATTTTTCGGCGGCACGTATGAAACAAGATTACCTGATATTGAGGCGATACCTGGTTTAATATATATACTTTTAGGTGACACGTTTGAAACAAGGCAACCTGATATTGAGGCGATACCTGATTTAATATATATACTTTTAGGTGACACGTTTAATTTGAAACAAGGTTACCTGATATTGTGGTGATACCTGATTTAAAATCATATACTTTTAGGCGGCACGTATGAAACAAGGTAACCTGATATTGAGGCGATACCTGATTTAAAATTATATACTTTTAGGAGACACGTTTGAAACAAGGTTACCTGATATTGAGGCGATACCTGGTTTAATATATATACTTTTAGGTGACACTTTTGAAACAAGGTTACCTGATATTGAGGCAATACATGATTTAATATATATACTTTTAGGTGACACGTTTGAAACAAGGTTACCTGATATTGAGGCGATACCTGATTTAATATATAAACTTTTAGGTAACACGTTTGAAACAAGGTAACCTGATAGTGAGGCGATACCTGATTTAATATATATACTTTTAGGTGACATGTTTGAAAAAAGGTTACCTGATATTGATACGATGACAATAGCAGACATTGGCAGACTTTTACATCGATTGAATCTTGATAGTTATGTTCACATGTTTGCAGACTCTCTTGTTGATGGAGTAATTCTAAAGGAATTCAACGAGGAAATTCTAAAGGATTTTGGATTTTCACGGCTGGAAATCATCCGACTTATGAAATTTATTCAGTGCGGTCATGTCCCAAAGTAAGCGTATAGACTGTGAAATAAACTAATCATAGATACCAGGCTTAAAATTTTATACGCCAGACATCTGCTTCGTCTACAAAAGACTCAACAGTGACGCTCGAATAAAGAAAGTTCAAAAAGTCAAATAAAGAACGAAGTTAAAGATCATTGAGGAACCACAATTCAGAAAGGTTTTGCCAAATACAGCTACGGTAATCTCTTCTAGAGTAGAAAATCTTCAGCATTTCGAAAAAAAAATTACTCGTAAACCATTCGAAAAAAAATATAACAAATTTACCGAGTCCAAGGACAATTCAAAACTGAAAGTCCCGTAAGAAAGTCATAATAGTCATTTTTAACCGTTTTTAACTTTAAGGAATATTCTCAAAAATATTACCAATATACATTCGTCAAAATGAGGGAAATATTGTCACACGAACAAACTAAATTCATTTGTGAAGCAGTAGGGGTCAACTCGGCCAACTCAACCGCTCCGTCTTACTCAGTGTATTACAATACATAAAGTTCTAAATAGTGCATAGTGAAAAAAAAATGAAACATAGTCACAAAACTTTCGTAGTATTAAGTGAAGGGATATCATGTGAAGAAAGAGGAAAATTTAAATCAAATTTCATTGATCTTTGAAATAAACTCATCATAGATACCAATTTGAAATTTTGTATTTGCTCCAGACGCGCGTTTCGTCCACAAAAGCTCGAATTAAAAATGTGAAAAAGGTCAAATAAAGTACGAAGTTGAAGAGCATTGAGGACCAAACATTCCTATAAGTTTTGCCAAATACAGCTAAGGTAATCTATTCCTGAGGTAGAAAAGCCTTAGTATTTCAAAAATGTAAAGTTTTGTAAACAGTTAATTTATTATTATGACCATATCAATGAAGCGTTCTTGTCCCATACGAATAAACAAACAAATCGACAAAAAAGAGGATCATCTGTTGGTACCTATGGAATATAAGTTGCAAAACATTGCCAATGAACGTATACAATATGTTGTCAATAGAAAATAAAACGGTGATGTAAGTTTAAGAGAACTTTCTCAGTTGTTATCCATTCGTTTGATGTGTTTGAACTTTTGATTTTGCCATTTGAATAGGGACTTTCCGTTTTGAATTTTCCTCGGAGTTCGGTATTTTTGTGATTTGCTTTTTTCACAATGTTAGAATTGATCTACCCTCAATATTATTTGCTGTTTCCTTAAACAAGAAATTTGTACAATTGATGACATTCTAATCAATAAGTCAATGTTGACGAATGATAATCTGAAACTTGGTTTCAAAGCTAAAAGATTAAATCTGAAAAAAAGAATGTGATGACCATAAGTCATTTAGACAGTAAACCAAATACACATTCAAATAAGAACTCATTTACAGGTCAAAATAAATTTCAACAATAGAAAAATGAGAAATGGTTTCATGGAGCAGCAATTGTGTTAAGCGTGCACCAAGTAGACAGTTGATGTTTTCTAATAGCGTGACCTATAGTTGTTAACATCTATGCCATTTGGTATTTGGTTGAGAGTTGCCTCATTGGCAATCATACCACGTCCACTTATTTCTATAGTAACATTAAAGGTAATAATTTGTTTGTACCAAATCATTGTCTCTTCGGGGATGTTTGAATATTTGAAAATCTAAAATTTAATGCAAAAGCTCAAGTGCTAATAGGATCATAAAGCAAGCCCGGGTATGACACAATGTTATGCATAAGACAGATATATATATATATATATATATATATATATATATACCGCAATTAAAATGATTTCCAAATTTTATAATTGTAAATTCTAACAATATCCGTATTTTCATAGCCAGTACTTCGTATGTGTTAAAATGCTGGCTACTGTCAGTCATAAGCAGCGGTATCGACCAAGTTATAATAAACTCATTACTGGTTCCAATCTTACTACACAAGTAATGTCGCTACAGTGATGGAAGTACAATGAGAATCAATTCTTTGGGTTTAACATAAAAAGGATTTACAAGAAGTCCTAAATACAACATAGACATGCAACGCTCCAAAAGGATCACTTCAAACGTGACGATTTCAGTTTCGTATTGTCAGATTTTTACTTTCAGAAAAATGATACACTCTGGTCAATGGTATGGTGTTTATAAATATCACTTGATTCGTTAAGGCCGTACAAGTTCATATAATCGATAATCGGGCATTATTATTAGGGTTGTACTCTGAATTCAAAAACTGCTCGAGAAGAGTTATGAAGAAGAACAAGTGATACCGACACTATACATGTTTTACCGTTACCTTAACAAGCTGGTTGATCAATCATGACATTTTCAGAGATAAACTGTGTATGGCGGGTAATTTGTCTATAGCAGGAGATGCTTATCATGTCAACCAAACTGGCCTATCGGTTATAAAAACTTGGAGTACGGTTATCGTACTGAGACGCAGAATTCAACCAATCAAAATACTGGATTTTGTGTTTCGAGCACAATTTGTGTACTCCGAAGACAAAATAAAGTTTAAGGACCCTGACCCCAGGTCTCACTTTTTTTGGAGTTAAGGTGCTTCTCTCAGTAAATATATTTGTTTTTCTGTATGAATTGTTATTGATTCACAATGATAGTGAAAATGGCCGTGTCTACTTGAATAAGATTTGTCGGGAAATATATCATAAGGTACATTTCTCCGGTGTTTTGTCACTGTAAACATTTTGTTGAATTAGATAAAACATGTTAAAGTCAACAGTAGTTTGCTGATGTACAAATCGGGTAACTCAATTAAGAATGTGCATATCAAGATAACAAAAAAAACGGAGGAAATCGCAAAACCCGTACGTATACAGACCGGATATGTTGACAAAGTAAACCTCTCCTCGTATGTATGCATCTCCTGTATTGTGAGTCCACATTGAGTCATAATGTTACAATAGGGAATAGGACACTATCAGACCAGACGCCTTTTTCGAATATCTAAAGATCTAAGACCGCAAAAACTTGTCCTAACCAATATCTGCTCTAATTTTTTCGATGAAGAAATTAGCGAAAACGACTCATTATCGGATTTTTTACTTGCTTGAGTAACACGATGGATGCCATATGTGGTGCAAGAACAAGTTATCCTTCAAGAGCACCAGAAATCAATCCCGATTTTTTGTGGTTCTTGTTGCTCAGTCTTTAGTTTTCTATGTAATGTTTGTTCTTTCGTTGTTTTAGTTTTGGCCTTAGTATTGTCAGGTTTTATTGGACTTATGATATTTTGATGTCCTCTTGATATCTGCTCTCTCCTTCTTTGTGATTAAAATAACTATTGAATAGAGTATTAGTTATTAAACTATTATAGGTTTTGCAGTTTTCAGTATGTATTCGTAATTATAGTAGCTGAAAAGCAATGCTTTATAATACCCCGTTCAAACAATTGGTGGGATCATAGGTATCACCCTGTCCATCAGTCCATCTGTCTTTCTATGTTTCCTTTAAGAGCTACTTCAATTAACGGGCTAGGTGGCTGTTGATGTCACCATTCACAGTTGTTAAAGAGAAGAGAATTACGTAAAGATGAATCCTTTTGTGAGTTCAAAACGGTTCTCACTAAATGTAGAAGGGAACACACTCATTATTCATTGGACAAGTATGGCTGAGAATGTTCTAAAGATATTCATGGTATGAATAATGCAAAAGAAACATTGTGAATACAAATAGAAAATGATAGAATCATAGGAATTTAATAACTGATTTAAAGTACATTGAACCCTTCAAAAAGTGTTTAACATATGTAAACTTAGTAGAATAAATTCAACATTAATGAACTAACAATTAGCCAAAATATTACTCACAAAATACTTTTTAACTTGTAGATGCAATCATATTTGACGCTGTTTATTACTGCCAAAAGTATAGTGTTAACAATTTGTATAAGTGAAAAAAAATGCAAGAAGTCGCAAAAATTCTTCGATTGTTTTTAATAATTGTTTAGTAATAGATATTGATTTTTTCGAACACAAAAGTATTCCACGACAAAATTACTTCCTGAATCTATCACGTGACAAATATGTATAGAAATTACAGGACAGAATATTCTGTGAAAGATTTTATTTCCAAATATCATACAAAGTTTCCACTCCTAGCAGTCGTTACTCAAGGTTATCATGGAAGCAGTGATTTGGACACATTCGCTACCGGGCAGGTAAATATTATAACGTTGACATTTTATAAATAAATTAATAATATATATCATCTAATGTGTTACGTTTTAAATACACATAATATATAACACGGTTAGTCATCATAGGCTTATTTATAAAGTTGAAAGTACTAGGTTTGATAAATAATTTAAAATAAATCAGCCAATATTCTGCACAATTACGGACTTCTCTTGAATTTGATTTTGACACTAACATTTGAGAAATACTTTGGAAAAATACTTTACACTATCAGTACCCGAGGGTATCATCAGTTCAGTAGTTAGTACTTTGGTACTGACATGATTTATAACAAACCTTGTCCGTTAATAAATTTGGAAATAAGAAATTTGAATTTAGAAACTAAGTTTCAACTTCCTCATGCAAAGTTGACCTTAGATGGATTTGGTTATTTGTAACCCGTACGTATACAGACTGGATATGTTGACAAAGTAAACCTTTTTTGTCATTTATAAAACAACGAAAACACTTTTGTAATATAAATGCATTTCAAAACTCTGACTGTCAATTGTGCGTATTCCTTCATTTAATCGACACGTTTTCCAACATACACATAATCAAGCACTATAGAAACAATGTTTTGTTACTGCTTTTTCAAATCATGGGTTTACTTTACAATACTATGTGAAACTGTTCTACTCAAAATTTAAAAAAAAGTTTTCGCAGAAAATATTCTTGTCAATAAGAGGCTTATTGCAATTGCCATTACATATTAAATATATATATAGACGTATCAGGCACATAGTGTAACGAGTGTGTATTGGAGTCCTATACAACCTTTCTACGTCAAAAAAAGGTTAAAGATAAATAAATATTAAAAAAAATTGATAAATAAATAAAAAAAAAAGAAATAAAATAAAAAAATAAAAAT